GACTCCCGGCTAGGCCTGATCCTGGAGAGACAACATCCCAGCAAAATATTCTTCACAGTCCCAAGAAAAAAACAACCCAAGGAGGTGAAGGGTACCCAAAGGCATAGTGATCGACAGGCACAGATATCTCCCTCTGGACAGAGGCGTAGCTAGAATCTTCAGGGCCTCAGTGCAAGAAACCGTGAACAGCTCCCCTGACCCCCAGCCATTCCCTCTGAGGCTCTTTACTCCCATTGTGGGGCCCTTTATTATGGTCCTGCAGAGGGAACCTTTTTAAATGTTCTGCAGCAGGCCCCCTTCCTCCTGTCCTGGGTAGACCCCCAGGGTGGCAGAACACCAGGGTCCGGTTGCAAGTGCCACCTTTGCGACCCTAGTAATTCCACCACTGCCTCAGCCTCAGAACTCAGAAAGTGCTTTATCTTTTGTTGGGACAGCTATCTTGGCCGCTCTTAGTAGAACATCTCACTATGGCCAATTTTACACCAGAGCCAGTTACATGCCACCAAGTCTTTGGGGTGTGAAAAGAAATGGAGTACCTAGTGCAATAAACCATGAACAGCCCCCATGACCCCCAGACAGGGCCATTCCCTCTGAGGCTCTTTACTTCCATTGTGGGGCCCTTTATTATGGTCCTGCAGAGGGAACCTTTTTAAATGTTCTGCAGCAGGCCCCCTTCCTCCTGTCCTGGGCAGCCCCCCATGGTGGCAGAACACCAGGGTCCGGTTGCAAGTGCCACCTTTGCGACCCTAGTAATTCCACCACTGCCTCAGAACTCAGAAAGTGCTTTATCTTAACACTGCCTTACTCAAACTCTCCAACGACCTGCTAACCGCCAAAGCTAATGGCCACTATTCAGTGCTCCTACTCCTTGACCTCTCTGCGGCCTTCGACACAGTCGACCACCCCCTCCTCCTCAAAAAACTACACTCCCTTCGGCCTCAGAGATTCTGCTCTCTCCTGGCTCTCATCGTACCTGTCACAACGCTCTTTCAGCATTACCTATAATGCTACCACCTCCCCCTCACTCCCCCTCTCTGTTGGGGTTCCTCAAGGCTCCGTCCTCGGGCCCCTTCTCTTCTCCATCTACACCACCTCCCTTGGCCAACTCATACACTCTCACGGCTTTAACTACCACCTATATGCCGACGACACACAAATCTATCTCTCAACCCACAACCTCAGTCTCCGCCCGAATCACACACCTACTGAGCGACATATCAGACTGGATGTCGTTCCACTTCCTTAAACTGAACCTCTCCAAAACTGAATTTCTTGTCTTCCCCCCAGCCCGGACACCACCCCCCATTGACTTCTCCATCACATCCAACAACGCCACCATCAAACCCGCCACGCAGGCCAGAGTACTTGGTGTCATTCTCGACTCCAACCTATCCTTCCAGCCCCAAGTCCAATCTTTAACAAACTCGTGCAGACTCCGCCTCCGCAACATCGCCAAAATATGTGCGTTCCCAACTCCAGAAACCACTAAACAGCTCATCCACTCCCTCATCATATCACGACTCGACTACTGCAACTCCCTCCTCACTGGCCTGCCTCGCCGCTGGCTATCCCCGCTTCAGTCCATCCTGAATACGGCTGCCAGACTCATTCACCTTTCCAACCGCTCTGTCTCCACCACCCCCCTCTGCCAATCCCTCCACTGGCTTCCGATTGCGCAACGGATCAAATTCAAAATCCTAACACTGACGTACAAAGCCGTCCACCATACTGCCCCAAACTACATCACTGACCTAATATCCAAGTACCACCCAACACGCACACTCCGCTCCTCACAAGACCTCCTTGTCTCTAGTTCCCTGGTCTCCTCCTCCCATGCCCGCCTCCAGGACTTCTCCAGGGTGTCACCCATCCTCTGGAACTCCCTGCCCCAACCCATCAGATTATCACCTACTCTCCTCTCCTTTAGGCGCACCCTGAAAACCCACCTCTTCAGGGAAGCCTACCCCACCCCCTGCTAACTTACCGACCTCCTCCACTCTTCCTACCACTCCATCCCCCACAGCTATCTCCTCCTGTGCCACCATCCCCTCCCTCCTAGATTGTAAGCTCCAAAGAGCAGGGCCCTCAATCCCCTCATGTTTTGCATTGTATTGGTATTGTTCTGTCACATGTTCTGTCCCCCTTTGTAATGTACAGCGCTGAGCGAACTATCGGCGCTTTATAAATACTGTATAATAATAATAATAATAATAATAATAATAAATCTTTTGTTGGGACAGCTATCTTGGCCGCTCTTAGTAGAACATCTCACTATGGCCAATTTTACACCAGAGCCAGTTACATACCACCAAGTCTTTGGGGTGTGAAAAGAAATGGAGTACCTAGTGCAATAAACCATGAATGGCCCCCCCTGACCCCCAGCCAGGGCCATTCCCTCTGAGGCCCTTTACTTCCATTGTGGGGCCCTTTATTATGGTCCTGCAGAGGAAACCTTTTAAAATGTTCTGCGGCAGGCCCCCTTCCTCCTGTCCTGGGCCCCCCACGATGGCAGAACACCAGGGTCCGGTAGCAAGGCCACCTTTGTGACCCTAGTAATTCCACCACTGCCTCAGAAATGATCAAATCTTTTGTTGGGACAGCTATCTTGGCTGCTCTTAGTAGAACAACTCACTAGGGCCAATTTTACACCAGAGCCAGTTACATGCCACCAAGTCTTTGGGGTGTGAAAGGAAATGGAGTACCTAGTGGGAAACCCACGCAAGCATAGAAAGAACATGTAAACTTCAGCTTCCTGACCAGGATTTCGGCTTCGGATCCCAGTGCTGCAAGGCATAAGTGCTAACCACTAGGCTGCTATGTAACCTGCTCCTCTGGTTTTGGATATCTACTGGATTTTTTCATTGCTCTGTCAATATTCTGATTCATTTTTTTTCATTCCTTTAAATTGGTATTTCTGTAGTTGCCGAGCCACATGTATTTAAGCCCCTCACCATGATACCGGCCATCAGGTTGTTGGGAAGCTTTAAACCATATTTCCACTTTTGCAGACACATTGGGACCTACTTTATATTTGTTACATGTTCCTATTAACATAGCATCATTAAAAAAAAGTATTTAAAAATTGCAGGTTACCTTTGTAGGTGCTTCTCACTTGTGTAGGGCAACCCCTCAGGAGCCGCTAGTTCAATGGGTCCTCTGATACTAGTCTTGACTGTGCTGAGACCTCTACCACTCTGGCACACCCAGGTAAATTCACACGATTCAAGATTTGACACCAACCCCGTCTCAAGAAGGTGGACAAAACTAGGGGCGGACTTACCATTTGGAAACTCTGGCACTGCCCGAGGGCCTGGGGTCAGTAGGGGGCCCCATGAGATGCCCCTGGTACCTTTTTCATAGGCTTTTTGAGTTTGGGCAAGGACACAGGGGCCCCCTGATCCTCTATTGCCGGGGGGCCCAATGAGTTGTCAGTCCGCCCCTGAACAAAACACAGTTGCAGAGTAAGACCTTATATATTAAGGATAGGAACTTATAGGCCTTGACCATATATTAGATAACAACTGACAGAGGATAAGACAGGACAGTGAGTAAGAAAAAGTAGTATACAGTTTACTATAGGAGGTGATAATTAAAAATACTTCCTCACTATCTGCCCAAGTCAGCTTAAACAGTAACAGGATCACCAAAGGTGCAACAAGGGAAGCCTAAACAGTGGATAAGTCTACACCCAGGGGCGGACTGACAACTCATGGGGCCCCCGGGCAATAGGGGATCATGGGGCCCGTGTCCTTGTCCAAACTCAAAAAAGCCTATGAAAAAGGTAGCAGGGGCATCTCATGGGGCCCCCTACTGACCCCGGGACCTCGGGCAGTGCCTGAGTTTCCAAATGGTCAGTCCGCCCCTGTCTACATCCCAGGAGTTACACTGCCCACTACTGCACTGGGGTGACCATGCTACCTCCAAGTCTGCCTGCAGGACTTTCTTGAAGCCAAACAGCCACAAATAGATCATAAATGGTAAAAAGTTGTGCAAAAGTGAGATAGATAAGGGGAGCATTCTCTGGATGTTTTTTTCTGCTAGCTATCGTTGGGGCCCTTTAACGGTGGTGCACTACTGGTGAACGTTAAAGGCATAATCTGCATTCCGTTCCAAGTATAATTATAACCGCTGTGATCGGTAGTGTTGGTTTGAAGAAAAAGATAAACAGTAACAGTAGATGAGATAGGTTCCAAAGTAAAGTCAGTTCTGGAATACTGAGACAATTCTCAGTAGGCGTTGTGATGACAGCCCATGGTAGAATACCTACGTTGGACACTAAACCAGGGAGCAAGAGGGTACGGCAATGATAGGCAATTAGTAAACTCAGTTCCCACCGAACAGTGTGTGCATTATAACAAAACAGCACTCACCTACCTATCCCAAAGACCCAAACAAATCACTTAACAGTCCTTCCCCTGAAGTACACAAAATTGTTGAAAAATAGTGATAAGTAAACCCATATAAGGTGTCACTACACCTAAAATCCAATTAAAGTCAATTTACAATCCAAAGAAATTTTTCTTGCAGGTGATTTCACAATCATTGATATCCCCGAATACGATTGATGGTATAATCCAGAGAATCTTCATATACCTCAAAAACAAAAAATTCTAAACATAGTGTATTATCCCAGGTATTATAGTATAGTGCCACACGTGTCACATGCAGACAAACTAAAGTGCCACAGCAATCGTGAGATATCAGAACTCCAACAACTCGATTACTAAATCCTCTGCACACAATATAAGAAGTGCATAATTACCCTAGCATAGATAAAATCAGCATAGGATCCATAATATAGATGAGATAGCCTCCAAGCTTTTAGTCTACCATCTTCTCCAAACACTTCCCATAGACCTCATGGAGAAGATGGTAGACTAAAGCTTGGAGGCTATCTCATCTATATATTATGGATCCTATGCTGATTTTATCTATGCTAGTGTGTGCATTGGGTTACGAACCCTCTCACCATTCCTGCGTTTCAGCCTTAGATGGCAATGGTAGAGGGCAGGGGCGGACTGACCATTTGGAAACTCGGGCACTGCCCGAAGGCCCAGGGTCAGTAGGGGGTCCCATGAGATGCCCCTGGTACCTTTTTCATAGGCTTTTTTGAGTTTGGGCAAGGACACATCGGCCCCATGATCCCCTATTGCCCGGGGGCCCCATGAGTTGTCAGTCCGCCCCTGGTATAGGGGGCCCTCATGGATCGATGACTTGAGCTCTGGTGAACCTGCACAGGAATGCTGGTGATGCATCAGACAACCAGTGAACTTGATTACTTCCTCCGGTATGAGCTGAAGTAGAAGGTTGATAGATAATGTTGATAGATAATGCATGATGAGTCTCTCCACTCATACCTTCCATGCTATGGCCTCTGTGGAACTGTAGTCTTTTCTAGCACCAGGGCAATACCATCCCCATACAGCGGAACTACATCTCCCACAATCCCCCTCAACAGCATCTCCTCCTCCATGACTGATGCTGCCCAATCAGTGGAGAGCACATAACACCCATTAAGATGTAGTAGTCGGATGTACAGGGACCTGTTGTTCTTACAATAATAGTCTTAGAAGTTTCTTTTCTCTCTTAAAGGGGCTTCCTCCTGTCCTGGGCCCCCCACGATGGCAGAACACGATGGCAGAACTCTCTTAAAGGGGCTGATTGCCAGCTCCTGGCTACACTTGCCTAAAAATCCTTACATGCTTTCCCTGCTTTGTGATGCTGGGTGGGGGGAGGGGCTGTTGATGGACGTTTAACATAATTAACCCTGTCTGTACTCTGTTTGCAGTTCTTCATTATATGGGCAGCACAGTGGCTAAGTGGTTAGCACTTCCGCCTGGCAGTATTAGCGTCATTGGTTCGAATCCCAATCATGGCGCCACCTGCCCGCCGTTTGCATGTTCTCCCTGTGCCTGCGTGAGTTTCCTCCAGGTACTCCAGTTTCCTCCCACACTCCAAAGACATGCTGGTAGGTGAATTGGCTCCTGTCTACATTGTCCCTAGTATGTGTATGTATGAATGTGAGTTAGGGACCTTAGATTGTATGCTCCTCGGGGGCGGGGACTGATGTGAATGTACAATATATATGTAAAGTGCTGTGTAAATTGACGGCGATATATAAGTACCTGAAATAAATAAATAATCAGCTGAACACTGTCCTAGCAAAAGGTTACACATTTAGAAACCACCCTCCTGCATTGTATGTTAATGAAGGATTGTGGGCAGGGCCGTGGATAAGGGGCTACCACCAGTTCTCCTATACAGGGCCCAGGCCAGCAGGGGGGGCAAGGCAGCTGGGTGAATCGGGTGTGAATAGGAAGCATGATTGGCACGGCGGGGAGGCAGTTACTGGAACCGATCCCCATGTATGGCTGTCTCTGCAGCAGCTGAAAGCCGGCTTCTTCTCTCCTCCCTCCCGTGGCTTTCAGCTGCTACAAAGAGAGCCATACAGGGGATTGGTTCCAGTAATCCCCCCTGCCGCACCCATCACCCTCCCTGTGCACAATACATTTCCCCCTGCTGCCCAGGCTCCCCTGTGTGTCCCCACCCCCACAGTGCTACCGGCTTCCTTGTTTTCCTTCCCACTGGTAGCTGCAAGCACACAATAGGATCCTTCAGGATGGAAAGTGGGGGAAGGATCTGGTAAATTTGCCACATTTACCAGCCCCTTCCCTTCCTGAATGAATGAACACAATAAGTGATCGCTACAAATCACTAACTGTGTTCAGTCATAACTGAAGCATAGTAAACTGTGTGATTTTTTTTTTTCGGGGGGGGGGGGGGGGCTGGCAGGTTGACCCATGGTTTCTAACAGAAGCCCATGTTGTGGGGAGAAAGAAATTGTAAGATTGTCCATAAATTCTTAGAAACAGTCATGACAATTTCTAAAAGGTAAGAAATATTTTTTTTAAAATAATTGTGGGTATGCTGTGGAGTTTTCTCAAATTTGACTGCAAAAGTGGAAACACCTTTTAAGAAGGGTGCTTCCCAAAGATGTGGATGGTCCCTTGGTTTTTTTGCACCAATAGGAGGTTGTGCAGTTTGAGGTTTTGATTATATATTATTATTATTATTATACAGTATTTATATACCGCCATCGGTTTGCTCAGCGCTGTACATTACAATGGGAGACAATACACGAGACAGTACAGTAACAATACAATACATGAGGGGTTCCAGGGCCCTGCTCCTTGGAGCTTACAATCTAGGAGGGAGGGGAGAGTGGTACAGGAGGAAATAGCTGTGGGAGATGGAGTGGTGGGAAGAGCGGAGGAGATCAGCAAGTTAGGTGAGGGCGGGGTAGGCTTCTCTGAAGAGATGGGTTTTCAGGGTGCGCCTGAAGGCGAGGAGGGAAGGTGACAGTCTGATGGATTGGGGTAGTGAGTTCCAGAGGATGGGGGAAGCCCTGGAGAAGTCCTGGAGACGGGCATGGGAGGAGGAGACCAGAGAACTGGAGAGAAGGAGGTCTTGTGAGGAGCGGAGAGTGCATTTTGGGTGATAGATGGATATCAGGTCGGTGATGTAGTTTGGGCACAAATCACCAGCGCCAAGGAAATGAATATACAAAAAATATATATATAATAAATTAAAAAATAAAAAAGATTATAAATTTAAATTAAAAATTAAATGCTGCTGTACCCAAGTGTATTGACACCAAAAAATATATAAATATCAAAAACAGCGCAGATAATTCACATTATACCAAATCAACATACAGAAAAATATATATATAATTATAGAATAATAATCATAGTCCCACTCCAAAATAAATGAAGAAATATGTGAAAAAATTATTGATCACAAATGCAAAATATGATAGTAGAAAAACAAAAAAAGTCCACAAAGATGTGCTTCCACCAAGAATTAGTGCTCAAAACAAAAATATATACCGCACTCACCAGATTCTGGTGAGATAAACACCTTTTAGGTCATTTTTATGGATCCTAGACTCTTTACACCGTGTTCCAAATTATTATGCAAATTATATTTTTCTCATTTCCCTCAATAATTGATGTAAATAACAGTCGGCTTAATTCTCAGGTTACAACTATTAAGAGTACAATTCACATTTTATTGCACAAACCTCCTAATGATAACAGGATTTTTGTTGCAAATTATTCCGCACAGGAAGTTTCAAAACACTTTTTCTAGGTTGTAAAGAACTGAAAATTGTCATTTGTTGTGTTTGCAGCAAATTTACTGACATCAAAAACTATTTCAATCAAACTTTTAACAACATTTTAACTTTGTAAACATTTGAAGCGGTCACGTTACATTGTAACATAGGAGCCCTTATCTGATAGCAGATCACAAGTCTGGCATCCATTGAACTTGGGAGTTTTTGGACAGTTTCTGCTTGAATTTGTTTGCAAGATGTCAGAATAGCCTCCCAGAGCTGCTGTTTGGATGTAAAACTGCCTCCCACCCTCATAGATCTTTTGCTTGAGGATGCTCCAAAGGTTCTCAATAGGATTGAGGTCAAGGGAGGATGGAGGCCACACCATGACTTTCTCTCCTTTTATCCCCATAGCAGCCATTGATGCAGAGGTATTCTTTGCAGCATGAGATGGTGCATTGTCATGCATGAAGATGATTTTATTACGGAAAGCATAGTTCTTCCTCCTGTACCAGGGAAGAGAGTGGTCAGTCATAAACTCCACATACTTTGCAGAGGTCATCTTTACACCTTCGGGGACCCTAAAGGGGCCGACCAGCTCTGTTCCCATGATCTGGCCCAAAACATGACTCCACCATCGCCTTGCTGACATCGCAGCCTTGTTGAAACAGAGTGGCCATCCACCAACCATCCACTACTCCATCCATCTGGACCATCCAGGGTTGCACGGCACTCATCAGTGAACAGAACTGTTTGAATATTAGTCTTCATGTATTTTTCTGCCCAATGCAGCCGTTTCTGCTTGTGAGCATTGGTTAGTGGTGGCCGAATAGAAGGTTTATGCACAGTTGCAAGACTCTGGAGGACTCTACACCTTGATGTCTGTGGGACTCCAGAGGCACCAGCAGCTTCAAATATCTGTTTGCTGCTATGTAATGGGATTTTAGCAGCTGCTCTCTCGATCCGATGCATGGATCTGGCAGAAATCTTCCTCAATGTGCCTTTATCTGCACCAACCCATCTGTGCTCTGAATCAGCCACAAATCTCTTCATAGTGCGATGATCACACTTAAGTTTTCATGAAATATCGAATGTTTTCATCCCTCGTCCAAGGCATCGAACTATTTCACTCTTTTCGGCAGCACAGAGATCCTTTTTCTTCCCCATATTGCTTGAAATGGTGCTCTGCTTAGTAATGTGGAACGCCCTCCTTTAGTAGTTTTTCCTTCAATTGGGCTCATCGGCCAATCTAATTATCACAGGTGTCCCAGATTGTTTTCAGTGATCAAAAGAGCCCTGACACACAATGCCATCCAAGAGTTACACTGAAAAACAAAATATTTCATCTTTGTGACACTTAAATAGAATTTGCATAATAATGTGGAACAGGGTGTATATTCAGACCTCCAACTTTCACGACAAGAGAATTTTTCCTCCAGCTTCCACCACCATCATACTCCTCTTGCCAGAAAAACTCAAAGTAATGCAGGAAAAACAAAACAAAAACACATAGAGTGATACTGCAACACCCGATTAATGTATATTCACAAACACCAGGCCACTCACATTAACCTCCTCGGCGGTATGATTATTTCTGATTTTTTGTGCTGAAAGCGGCACATTTTTTTCATGGAAATATGTAGTTTTTTATTGTAGGCTGTAATTTTTAGGAATAACTCACTGAAATCTGTCCGAAGAGTCTAGTAAACATCCCGGGGAAGATAAAACATGAAACACGAAATCCTAAATTATAATATAATAAATAATCATAAAAAATAATATAATAATAAATGTAATTCAATAATATAATCAAACCAAAAACACTGAAATGTGAAATAGAGCGCCAAGTTCGCACATCGCTGAGCTCAGTCGCAGAATCGTTTTCAGTGTCTGATGAGGAATTTCCCCCACGAATCATTATCACTCAATTCTGCAAGTGGTTCTGATTTACTATCGCTGTTCTCTAGCCGGTCTAAAACCGCGTCTGACCTAAAGGGACGCTATTTGGACTCCATGGACGTTTCTCAGTTTTCGGGCAGAAAGAACAGTCAAAATGCAGGCAGGGCACCGGACAAAGCACTCGGGACAAAATGTATGTGAAATGGTTTGATACAGGAATGTTATACTATATAATAATCATTTAAAAAAAATGAAATTTTTTAAAAATTTCAAATTTGCCGCCGATTTCGGTGCCCGTACGTCCCGACGTCACAGGGACCGGAACGCAGAAGCCGGATGCCGGCATCGGCCGGAGGAGATGGCCGGGGACGCTGCAGGGGACACATCACAGGAGAGCGAAGGACAAGGTAAGTGCTGCAGGAACTCCCAGAGCAACGCCGCATGGTAAGCCCGAGTGTAGCTCGGGGGGGGTTACCGCTCTTGTTACTGAAATTTTACCCCGAGCTACACTCAGGAATACCGCCAGGGGGGTTAAGTAAGATAAAAAACAGCATGTTTTTATTGCCTCCATAGACATCATAATTCCAAAGGATACTGGATTAAAAATCCCCCAGTCAGCAGCAGATGACATTAGGACCATTCCTCATCCACAAGATGGCCCCTGAAACGCAGCGCGTTCCACTCGCCGGAAGTGACATAGAACGTAAAGACGGCAGACCGGAAGTGCGTCAACGCGTTTCGCCCCTCCCACAGGGCGGTTTCAAAAACTGCATTACCTTGAGTTTTTCTGGCAAGAGGAGTCTGATGCTGGTAGAAGCTGGAGGAAAAATTCTCTTGTGGTGAAAAATGACCTAAAAGGCGTTTATCTCACCAGAATCTGGTGAGTGCGGTATATATTTTTTGTTTTGTTTGGTGGAAGCACATCTTTGTGGACTTTTTTTTTGTTTTTTCTACTATCACATTTTGCACTTGTGATCAATAATTTTTTCACATATTTCATCATTTATTTTGGAGTGGGACTATGATTATTCTATAATTATTATATATATTTTTCTGTATGTTGATTTGGTATAATGTGAATTATCTGCGCTGTTTTGGATATTTATATATTTTTTGGTGTCAAGACACTTGGGTACAGCAGCATTTAATTTTAATTTTAATAAAAAGCCCTGTGGGAGGGGCGAAACAAGTTAACGCACTTCCGGTCTGCCGTCTTTACGTTCTACGTCACTTCCGGTGAGTGGAACGCACGCCGCGGCGCAGCATTCCGGGGGCCATCTTGTGGATGAGGAATAGTCCTGATGTCATCTGCTGCTGACTGGGGGATTTCTAATCCAGTATCCTTTGGAATTATGATGTCTATGGAGGCAATAAAAAACGTGCTGTTTTTTATCTTACTTAATGTGAGTGGCCTGGTGTTTGTGAACGCCAAACGCTTGTAAACTTATAGACTGCGTTTATAAGTGTTTGCGTTTAGAAGCGTTTTTTAACTGTTCCATATCCAGAGGCTGTCCGGAGCCTTTTATCATCATCAGAAATGCATGTAAATCGTTTTCCATGTATTCAAATGGACCCGGCACACCAGCGCAGTCAGTTCCAGGATTTGTGTAAAGGAAAAAAAACGTACCGCATTATCCTCATGATGGGATCCATAGTGAATACAACCAGAAAAGACCGGTCATCTCAACACATACTGCTCTCTCTGCTTCTGCTCTCTCTTTTCCTCTCAAAATGTCTGAAATAGTTAATTTTTTACTTTTTTCAGTGCATTCTGGGCATTTTGGAAGGTCTCCTGAGGTTATGTTTTAAAAAGGCTTCTAAACGCAAACGTGCATAAACGTGGTATGCAAACGCGGCTAAACTGACGTTTTTTAACATATGTTTTCCAGCAGTCAGTTTCCATCATTCAGAAGAGTTTTCCAACAGGTGGGGTCCAGCGAGGGTTTTTTGAGGATGGGGGTAACCAGTGCATGTTTGAGTGGGGAGGGAAAGGTGCCCATGGAGAGTGAGAGGTTGAAGATGTGGGTTAGAGAGTTTAGGATAGAGCAGGAAGGAGGCTGCAATAATCGTGAGGGGACAGGATCCAGGGGACAGGTGGTGAAGTGGGCCTTGGAAAGGAGTTCAATAACTTCCTTGGTGGTAACAGGGTCAAAGGAGGAGAGTGTTGAGTGTGGTTTTGAGCCTGGTATGTTGGTTGAAGGCGGAAGTTTGACACTGGAGATCTCATCACGAATTGTGTCGATCTTAGGATAATTATATTTGGCAAAGTTAGGCCCAAATTTACTAGAGAAAAATAGCACAGGTTGGGATTTTTACTACAAAAATTAAGATACTGCAGAGGATACAACATTGTAAAATTGGCAAGCAGCAGGTCGTTTATAATCAGGGATGGCAGGCACAACTGGTGTATACCTAACCTTTATTTTATCTATGGGAATAGTGGAACATGGTGAATATGTGTGATGTAATGGGAGGAGATTTACTAAAACTGGTGCACTCAAGAGTCTGGTGCAGATGTGCATGGTAGCCAATCAGCTTCTAGCTTCAGCTTGTTTAAGTAAGCTTTGGCAATAAAATCTAGAAGCTGATTTATCTCACCAGAATCTGGTGAGTGCTGTATATATTTTTGTTTTGAGCACTAATTCTTGGTGGAAAAGCACATCTTTGTGGAGAAAGGACTTTTTTTTGTTTTTTCTTCTATCACATTTTGCACTTGTGATCAATAATTTTTTTCACATATTTCTTCATTTATTTTGGAGTGGAACTATGATTATTATTCTATAATTATATATATTTTTTTCTGTATGTTGATTTGGTATAATGTGAATTATCTGCGCTGTTTTTGATATTTATATATAGTTTGAGGTTTTGATTTACAACTTTTTGGCTGCCATCATTGCTATCCCTCCTTGCACCCTCAGGCGAAATTTGGCGAACAATGGCTCCCGGCCAAAGAGCAGCATAGGACATTTATTGTTGGACGAATCCCATGTTGAGATTGTTGAGAGTCTGCGGTTTATAGTTGCATAGCTGACAAGAGGCCCTGGCAGATCTCCCTTTGTTTTCTCTGAGTGTTGTGCAAGCCTTGACACTCGCATGGAGTCCAACTTTATAAAATATTACAGTGCATTATAATACTGGGAGTAATGCAGAGACCTGCTGTTAGCTCTTTCTGAGGAAGAACATCCCTCCTTATGAAAGACTTGATTAAAGAGGGATGAAAACGTACGGGGCATTGGGGGGCTTTGATGGGCAAATCTGCCCAGGTTTTATTTGTCAAGGGTCCAGCCCAGGGGCAGGACAGACAACTCATGGGGCCCCTGGGCAATAGGGGATCATGGGGCCCCTGTGTCCTTGCCCAAACTTAAAAAAGCCTATGAAAAAGGTACCAGGGGCATCTCATGGGGCCCCCTACTGACCCCGGGCCCTCGGGCAGTGCCCGAGTTTCCAAATGGTCAGTCCGCCCCTGGTCCAGCCAATCTTGTTCGAAGTTCAGCAAACCAGAACTTACCTACAAATTCCATTGAAATGTGTGGGGGAGAACCTTGTTCTTTTATTCTGGACATATTTAGGGCTAATAGGCAAACTTCTGGATAGCTGGTACCAGTGGCGTCCTGACGCAGGTGTGGGGGGTGTGCGCCGCACCAGGTGACACCTACCGCACAGGGTGACATCAGACCCGCTCCACGAAAATGTTAGTTGTAAAGAAAATCGACGATCCCCGCAGGATGGATTCGATCCATCCTGCGGGGATCGTCGGCTTTCTTTACAACTACTTACCTTTTCGTGGAGCGGGTCCGGTGTCACCCCGTATAGGTTGCATGCCGACAATCCCCGCAGGATGGATCGGATCTGCGGATTGAGGAGCATAATGGAACGGAGCTGGATTCATTATGCTCAATCCTCAGATCCGATCCATCCTGCGGGGATCGTCGGCATGCAACCTATACGGGGTGTCACCGGACCCACTCCATGAAAAAGTAAGTTGATAAGAAAGCCGATGATCCCCGCAGGATGGATCGGATCTGCGGATTAAGCATAATGGATCCAGCTCTGATCCATTATTCTCCCCAATCCGCAGATCCGATCCATCCTGCGGGGATCGTCGGCATGCAACCTATACGGGGTGACACCGGACCCGCTCCATGAAAAGGTAAGTTGTAAAGAAAGCCGACAATCCCCACAGAGTGGATCTGATCTGAGGATTGGGGAGCATAATGGATCTGGGTCCGATCCATTATTCTCAATCCGCAGATCTGATCCATTCTGCGGGGATCGTCGGAGGGGGTGTCACCACCAAATGTTATCACACCGGGTGACACCAACCCTAGGGACAACCCTGGCTGGTACAGTAAGGGCTCATGTACACAGGGCGTTTGGAGAACTCTTCTGAACGATGGAATCTGACTATTATAAAACATAGGTTAAAAACGTCAGTTTAGCCACGTTTGCACACCGCCTTTATGTGCGTTTGGTTTAGAAGCGTTTTATAAAAGATAACCTCAGGAGACCTTCCCAAATGCCCAGAATGCACTGAAAAACAGTAAAAAAATTAACTATTTCAGACATTTTGAGAGAAATAGAGAGAGTAGAGGCAGAGAGAGCAGTATGTGTTGATATGACCGGTCTTTTCTGGTTGTATTCACTATGGATCCCATCATGAGCATAATGCGGTACGTTTTTTTCCTTTACACAAATCCTGGAACTGACTGCGCTGGTGTGCCGCGTCCATTTGAATACATGGAAAATGCTTTGCATGCATTTCTGATGATGATAAAAGGCTCCCGACAGCATCTGGATATGGAACAGTTAAAAAACGCTTCTAAACGCAAACACTTATAAACGCAGTCAACCGCGTTTACAAGCGTTTGGCATTTGAAACGCCGGTAAAATCTACTCCTGAACGCAAGTTTGGTGCATTAAAAAAAACGACTGTAACCTCAACTGCCTGTAAACGACGATGTGTACATGGAGACATAGGAGGACATTAGGGGGAGTTCAGGGGCTGCTGAAAAAAAACGCAGAAAAGCTCCTGAACGTCAGTTTATCAGCTGCGGTGTACATGAGCCCTAAGTGTGCTGGGATTTTTTTGTATTCTGTTAGGTTTTCACGGGACTGAGACTCTGCAGTCGCTTTTGCAGCAGTTTGCAGCAATCCTGCGCAATGTCCTTTTGTGTCTTTCACTCAGTTGACCGCGCTTATGTGTATGAGACGACGTTTTCCTGGAAACTGTATATGCCGTCATAACCTTAGATCCTTGCGCACTACCTGTTCTGTTTTTATTCGCCTTTGGTTTGTGAATATACAGGTGAAACGAAAAATGAGAATATGGTGCAAAAGTTCATTTATTTCAGTGCAGCAACTTAAAAGGTGAAACTAATATATGAGACTCATTACATGCAAAGCAAGATAGTTCAAGCCGTGATTTGTCATCATTGTGATGATTATTATGGCTGACAGCTCATGAAAACCCCAAATCCACAATCCCAGAAAATGAGAATATTCCATGCAATAATAAAACACGGATTGTACATAGAACAATATCAGACCTCTGAAAAGTAGAAGCTGCATATGTACTCAGTACTTGGTTTGGGCCCCTTTTGCAGCAATTACTGCCTCAATGCGGCGTGGCATGGAAGCTATCAGCCTGTGGCACTGCTGAGGTGTTATAGAAGACCAGGATGCTTCAATAGCGGCCTTCAGCTCTTCTGCATTGTTCGGTCTCATGTCTCTCATCTTTCTCTTGGCAATGCCCCATAGATTCTCTATGGGGTTCTGGTCGGGCGAGTTTGCTGGCCAATCAAGCACAGTAATCCCACGGTCATTGAACCAGGTTTTGGTGCTTTTGGCAGTGTGGGCGGTGCCAAGTCCTGCTGGAAAATGAAGTCAGCATCCCCATAAAGCTCGTCTGCGGAAGGAAGCATGAAGTGCTCCGAAATCTCCTGGTAGACGGCTGCGTTGACCCTGGACTTAATGAAGCACAGTGGGCCAACACCAGCAGATGACATGGCTCCCCAAATCAACACAGACTGTGGAAACTTCACACTGGACTTCAAGCATCTTGCAGTGTGTGCCTCTCCATTCTTCCTCCATACTCGGGGTCCTTGTGCCTCTCCATTCTTCCTCCATACTCGGGGTCCTTGTGCCTCTCCATTCTTCCTTCATACTCGGGGTCCTTGTGCCTCTCCATTCTTCCTCCATACTCCGGGTACTTGTGCCTCTCCATTCATCCTCCATACTCGGGGTCCTTGTGCCTCTCCATTCTTCCTCCATACTCGGGATCCTTGGGCCTCTCCATTCTTCCTCCATACTCGGGGTCCTTGTGCCTCTCCATTCTTCCTCCATACTCGGGGTCCTTGTGCCTCTCCATTCTTCCTCCATACTCTGGGTCCTTGTGCCTCTCCATTCTTCCTCCATACTCGGGGTCCTTGGTTTCCAAATGAGATGCAAAAGTTGCTCTCATCAGAAAAGAGGACTTTGGACCACTGAGCAACAGACCAGGTCTGTTTTTCTTTAGCCCAGGTAAGACGCTTCTGACATTGTTTGTTGTTCAGGAGCGGCTTGACAAGAGGAATACGACATTTGAAGCCCATGTCCAGGATCCGTCTGTGTGTGGTGGCTCTTGATGCACTGACTCCAGCCTCAGTCCACTCCTTGTGAAAGTTCCAAACACTTTTGAATGGCCTTTTCCTGACAATCCTCTCCAGGCTGCGGTCATCCCTGCTGCTTGGGCACCTTTTTCTTCCACACTTTTCCCTTCCACATAACTTTCTATTAATGTGCTTTGATACAGCACTTTGGGAACATCCAACTTCTTTTGCAATTACCTTTTGAGGCTTTCCCTCTTTATGGAGGGTGTCAATGATGGTGTCAGGTCAGCAGTCTTTCCCATGATTGTGATTCCTACTGAACCAGACAGAGAGACCATTTAAAGGCTCAGGAACCCTTTGCAGGTGTTATGGCTTAATTATCTGATTAGAGTGGGACACTTTGAGCCGAGAATATTGCACCTTTTCACAATATTCTCATTTCCTGAGATTGTGGATTTGGGGTTTTCATGAGCTGTAAGCCATAATCATCACAATGATGACAAATCACGGCTTGAACTATCTTGCTTTGCATGTAATGAGTCTCATATATTAGTTTCGCCTTTTAAGTTGCTGCACTGAAATAAATGAACTTTTGCACCATATTCTAATTTTTTGAGTTTCACCTGTATATATATATGTTTTTTCAATAAATACGTGGTGTACCACGGTAATGCACGATGAGAGTGCGCCCTTGTTTGCTTTTGCTCACTAAATTTACTAGAGACAAAGAGCACTGGCTGAGGCTTTACTGTAAGAATTAGGAGACTGCAGATGACACAGCTGTGTAAAATTGGCAAGCAGCAGGACAATTTTAATCAGAGATAATAGGCGACAAACTACTAGAGACAAAGAGTTTAGACACGAGTTTTACTACACAAATTAATAGACTGTAGATGACACAGTATTGTAAAATTTGGCCAGAAGCAGGATTATTATTTTTATTATTATACAGGATTTATATAGCGCCAACAGTTTGCACAGCTCTTTACAATATAAGGGAGACAGTACAATTACAATACATTTCAGTACAGAAGGAATAGGAGGGCCCGGGTCATGGAGCTTACAATCTAAAGGAAGGGGGAGGTGGTACAAAAGGTGATAGCTGCGGGGGATGATCTAGCGGAGGTGATTCAAGTACAGTTCTTAGGTGGAGGTGGGGTAGGCTTCCCTGAATAAATGAGTTTTCAAAGATCGCCTAAAGGCAGACAGGGTGGGGGCTGACCGGACATACTGTGGTAGGGAGTTCCAGAGGATGGGGGAGGCTCTGGAGAAGTCCTGGAGGCGAGCGTGGGAGGAGATGATGAGGGAGCTAGAGAGAGAAATGTCTTGGGAGGAGCGGAGCGGGCAATTTGGGTGGTATCTGTGGATGAGGTTGGTGATGTAGCTGGGGGCAGTGTTGTGGATGGCTTTGTAAACTGTGGTTAGTATTTTAAATTTTATACGTTGAGTTAGTGGAAGCCAGTGGAGGGATTGGCAGAGAGGAGCAGCAGTCGCTGATCGGTTGGTACGGTGTACAAGTCTAGCAGCAGTCGCTGATCGGTTGGTAAGGTGTATGAGTCTAGCAGCAGTCACTGATCGGTTGGTAAGGTGGATGAGTCTAGCAGCAGTCGCTGATAAGGTGGATGAGTCTAGCAGCAGTCACTGATCGGTTGGTAAGGTGTATGAGTCTAGCAGCAGTCGCTGATCGGTTGGTAAGGTGGATGAGTCTAGCAGCAGTCACTGATCGGTTGGTAAGGTGTAGGAGTCTAGCAGCAGTCGCTGATCGGTTGGTAAGGTGTAGGAGTCTAGCCGCATAATAGACTGAAGGGGGATAACCTGTGTAACGGTAGACCAGTGAGGAGGGAGTTGCAGTAGTTAAGGCGGGATAGAACCAGGGCGTGGATAAGTTGTTTTATGGTGTCATTGGTCAGCAAGGGGCGGATTTTGGAAATGTTCCGGAGGTTGAGGCGGCAGGATTTAGCCAGTGAGTGGATGTGAGGCCCAAAGGAGAGGTCAGAGTCTAGGATTACGCCCAGCACCCTGGCATGA